GCAGTGTAAGCACATTGTACATCTATGTTCAACACATGTGGGCAAGCCGATGCTCCTCCCTTCCCAGCCATGGGGGGCCCGCTGCCTCTGGGCCAGGCCCCACACAAGCCTCCTTCTCCCTCCTTCAGCAGCCCCCTGCTCCCAGGGAGCCCAAGGCGAGGGCCTCCTGCAGAGCCATTTCCTGGGGCAGCAGACCTGGGGGCCATCCTCCCAGAGTCCTGGGAGGGGGTGAGGGGATGAAGGGGAGGTGGGGAAGAGGTGGCTGGGCGGAGCCAGGTCACCCCAGCAGGAGGCCATAGCACAGAGCTCTGGGCTGCTCCAAGTTCTTCATGCGCCTTCTCAGGGAGGGAGGGAGTGTCCAAGCCATTTCAAAAGCCAGGGGAGGCCCAGAGAAGGGGCTTCATTCTCCGTGGGGAGGGGAAATTTCAAAGGAGACCCTGCTGTTGAAAGGTTTCCAAAGACCCTTGCCTTTCTATCAGATCCAAATCACTCCCCCTCAGCAGCAGCCAGGAGTGGGGTGCTAGGAAAATGTTTCCAAGGAGACATGTCCCTGAGTCATTGCAACTCCAGCGTCTCTGGGCTGCGGAGCCATGCAGAGGCCCCCCGCTATAAAAAGGCCGGTTTACCGACCCTCAGGGGAGCTCTCCAGCAGTCTGGGTCCCTGAGGAGGCCTGCCTCAGACCCCCAAGTGCCCTGAGTTTATGAGAAGGCTGTGGAGCTGAACAGGGCCACTTCTACCCACCAAGTCCCCCTGGTGCCACTAAGGGGGACTTTTACCCGTCAGCGGCAGGGCAGCCACTCTGGGCTCGGACCGTTTAGCAGGAGAAGCCACCCACAGGGACACTGGGCCCCAACAGATTTACTGGGAGTGCAGAGCCAGCCCCAAAGCAGGCCTGCTGTGCCTGCCTCTCACCATCCCCCCAGCAGGCTTCCCAAGCCACCAGGGCCGGCCAGACTCACAGCACAAGCCACATGTAAGTTCCATCAACTCCTTCTCCTGCTGCCCCATTCCCTCAGCCCAGGACATACCAGGTGGGTCTTTGTTCTCTTCCCAGCTGGTTCCCTCTCAACACTGCAGCCACATTCATCTTCCTAAGGCTCAGTCCAGGCTACACCCTGATCTAAAACCTTCAATGGCTCCCTAGCACTAGGGTCCAAGGTTATACACTCAGGTAACCACAGGGACCAGGCTGGGGACTTAAATGAGCCATGCAACCCCATATAACAGCAAGACCATGATGGCTGGGCATGCATGCCTTGCGTAGGAGATACTGCTGCTGCTGCTAAGTCACACCAGGTGGGAATGATGATGATGACGGAAATGATGTTTGCGGGAATGTGACGCCCTGGCTGCCACCTCTTGTGGTTTTTCAAGAGAAGTCTAATAAATCGTAGCCAAGGGGCCCCCAAAGTTGGACCCTGGCCTACAGAGTGGAAGGCCAAACCCTAACTCCTCCACCTGGTATCGGAGGTGATCTGTGGCCCACCCCAGCCCCCTCCCCACTCTCACTCCCCACGATGCCTCCATCCCAGCCGAGCCAGGCACCTACAGTCCGCCAGACTCGCCTGCCCTGCTCACCCCCAGTCCTCCTACAGGCAGGTGGCTCACCACCTCGCAGCCTGGCAGCAACACATTGTTCCAGAGCCTCCTCCTGATGCTCAGCCCTCCATCGGAAGGCAACATCCCCCCTCTTCATCCTTCAGCGCCCAGGGGGCCCTGCTCTGGGAGCACCCATACCACTGCACTGTGCTTACCTGCACACCCGTCAGCCTCCCGCTGGAAGAGAACCCTGAGGTCTCTGCCACCACAGACCCCGGTAGGGGCCCCAAACACAACAGAGGGGCCCTAGTTGTGGTTCAGTCCTTCCTGCCTCCATTACTCAGGCTGAAAGGACTTGGGTAAGTCACGAAATCTCTCTAAGCCCCGGGTTCCTAATCTGTCAGATGGGGAACAAGTGCCTATGTAAAGCGCCTGGCACGTAGAAAGGCTGAGTCAATAGCAGCTGGTAACATCCTTATCCAATGTGACCTCTTTGCTGCATGATATGTGCGGCGTCTTCTATGAGATGATCTCTGAGGCAGAGACCATGCCCCCTGTACCCCATCACTCACAGAGACCGCCGCAGCTCTGGATATGCCATAGGTGCTCAGTCAAGTCCTCTGGTTGATTGGGCTGATGAGGCTCGGGGAGGGCAGGTAGGTGGGGAGTGCAGGTTACAGGGAGAGGGACCGCCCAGCCGCCAGAGGTCTGGCTCACTCAGGGGTCCATGCCACAGTGAACTGAAATCTCCACACTTGGGGACCAGCCAACCACTCCTGCCTGCTTCCCAGGCCTCCAACTCCCGAGTTCCTGGGCTCCCGATCAGCTGACAATGCTGCGGGGCAGGCGCGGGTGAGGGGACCCGTCCAGCCCCCAGCCAGGGTGTCTTCCCGTGGAAGCCTGGCCTGCGGCTCACACACAGGCCCAAATGCCCCTCAAACCCTCCTTTTGCTTTTCCCGGGACTCTAGTTAAGAGCAGCCCCCTCGTCTTTCACCTAAGGACACAGAGCTTCCAGGCTCTGCACAAAAGGAAAGGCAGAAGAGGGGAGGGAGGGGCCAGAAACGCCTCAGAAATCACTGCGGTCCAATTAGCCAGGCTTGCGCCCTTCATGCTTACAAACAGGAACGCGTATTAACACCTGCTACAAAAGCAAACATTTTTAGATATCTTCATCTTCACCTCCCTGACACTCCGTGAAAGGACTCCCAGCAGCCAGTGATGGACAGGGGAGAGCTCCTTCTTATCCTTCAGCAGGGGGCTCTCAGACAGAGAAATTAAAAAGCCCCCAATCTCCCTGTCAGGCCAAGCTCCCAAGGCCCCCAAACTGGTCTTCCCCGGGCCCCCGCTCCCCACTCTCCGCCAGGTGAGCCCCACCACACACATGATTGGGGGTCAGTGGCTGCAGGAGCCTGGCTCCAAGGCACGGGGGCAGAGGTTGTCAGACAGGTTGGGGGTAGGGGGACTAGGAAGCTGGGCCCCCACCCTCACGGAGCATGGCCACTGCTGTGGCTATGTAGGGACCAGGGGGCCCAAACCTGCCCTGAGAGCACCTTCACTAAAGAATGGCCTTTGCAATGCAAGCCTTAAACAAAACCTCAATGACTGTACAAATTTGGAGCAAACTGAAACTCTCATACACCACTAGCGGGGGTATAAGTTCATACATCTGCTTCACAAATGTATTTGTCAGCATTTACTAAAGGTGAACATCATTTAACCTGTGACTCAGCAAGTCCATGCAAATCCTATATTCCCATTTTATATACATATTTACATATATAAATACTATAGTATATAACAGTATATTATATATAAACACAAAATATATTATCTGTATATTCCTATAATCACAGTAAAATCACATACATATGTTCATCAGGAGACATGTACATGGGGCCGGGTGCGGTGTTCACACCTGTAATCTCAGCACTTTGGGAGGCCGAGATGGGCAGATCACTTGACGTCAGGAGTTTGAGATCAGCCTGGCCAACATAGTGAAACCCTGTCTCTACTAAAAATACAAAAAAAATTTGCCAGGCATGGTGGCACATGACTCTAAGTCCCCGCTGCCTGGGAGGTTGAGGCAGGAGAATCACTTGAACCTAGGAGGCAGAGGTTGCAGTAAGCAGAGATTCTGCCACTACACTCCAGCCTGGGTGACAGGGTGAGACTGTCTCAAAAACAAAACAAAAGAAGACACGTTCATGAGTGTACCAGCACTATATCAGAATGGGCTCATCAAGAATCAGATAACTGGTGGCTGGCGTGTTCCTGTGACAGATTACTATACATCAATGACAGGCATGATCTCCAACTGGAGGCAATAATGTGAAAAGTGAAAGATGCCAGGTGCAAATGAGTAGAAACTGTGATTCTATTTCCATAAAGTACAAACCAGGCAAAACCAACCTATATTACTAGACATCAGCATCATGATGACGTGTTGGTGGTAGAGGGGGGCCTGAAGGAGGCTGAGAGGGAAGCTTTTGAGGTGCTGGAAATACTTTGTTCCTTGGTCTGTGTGTGGGTTATACAAGTATGTTTAGTTCATGAAAATTCATGAAGCTGCTCACTTATGAGAGGTTTTCTAAATGTATGCAGTAAAGGGTTTTGTAAACCAGTACTCTGATGGCTGTTAAGACAACAATGAAAAGATGCTAGAAGAAAAACAGAGATGGAGTAAAGATGAAATTCAAACTGTGGCTGCAACTTTACTGCTCAGACTAGAGTCTTGGAGAAAGTGATCACATGTCCAACAAAGACCCAGGGTACCAGGTTTCTAAAGCTCTTCCAGGCCCCAGCCAACCCCAGGCCAGCCCCTTCCCTCCATGCCCATCAGAATATCCAGCTGTGCCCTCTCCTACTACAAGGACACCCCTAGCTGCCAAGGAGACCACATCCACCCATCCAAGGTAAAGGAGACCTCACAGCTTCCCGGGTCTCTTGTGCCAAGTGTGTGAACTCTACAGGACTTTGCAAGCTGCCCTTCTAGAAAGGCTGAATTTTCCAAAGTCCAAAACCACTTGAAAAGGAATGGGAAAAGTACCGAAATAACTTTATAAGTGTTCTGTTTTGACAACGTGCCTGAGGAATTCACCACGTTGAGTGGGGAAATGTGAGCAGTTAAATCTATTCAATGTCATGACACACAAAATTGAAGCATAATTGCTCCTGAGTGCTTGACAACTAGAAAGCACTTTGTTTCAGAAATGGAGGGAAATTTATGCTGGGAAATGGAAGAGACTGTCAAAAGTTTGCAATGTGAGTGGAGCTACAACAGGATGGCTTGGTGGAGAAAGGGCTCCCATTCTGACATTTGCACTCCCATTTGCACTGTCTCAGAAACAGCAGCAGTGATTCTGTCCTTTGGCCTAAAAGCCGGTAAAATGATGATGGGAACCGCAAATTTCAAACCCCAAAGAGTAGCTCCAGGATGGCTGGGAGGAAATGCTCTCTTACCAATCATGTGGTTGGCAACATGGATTTGGATCTCTCTCTCGTTCTCGAAGGTCATCTGGCACTTGATGCACTGGTATGTCTTTTTCTGTTTGGAACCAAAAAGAAAAGATTTAGAGAAGAAGGAAATAGGAAAAAGCAGAAAGCAAAAGCTCCTAGGGGGCCAGGCTCAAGACTTTCCAGAACGGCTCCAATTCCCTCCTGCTTCCCCAGGCCATTCTCTTCCCACCTCCCTCTAAATCCAGCTCTACCAGACTGGGGAAGGGGAATGAGGTTACATTCCAAGGGAGTTGCTCCTCTGCTATATCTGGGAAATCTGCCCATCTCAAGGTGAAGCTCTAAGGGAGAAAAGGGAGGCCTCCTTGCTTAGAAGGGTAAATCCAAGTACCCATGCCCCATCCATTCACCCAGCCATCCACCCTCCCATCTACATACATACCTACCCACAGACCCATCCATCCATCCTCCATCTACCCATCCATCCCTCTACATACATACCTACCCATCCATCCTCCATCTACCCATTCATCCATCTACTCCACCCATCCATCCATCCTCCATCTATCCAATCAACTATCAACATACCCACCCATCCAACCTCCATCCACCCATCCATCCATCTACATACATACCTACCCATAGACCTATCCATCCCTCCTCCATCTACCCATCCATCCACCAACTCCAACCACCCATCCATCCTCCATCTATCCAATCATCTATATACATACCACCCATCCAACCTCCATCTACCTATCCATCCATCTACATACATACTCACCCATCCAACCTCCATCTACCCATCCATCTACATACTTACCTACCCAAAGACTCATCCATCTATCCTCCATCTACCCATTCATCCATCTACAAACATACCTACCCATAGACCCACCCATCCCTCCTCCATCTACCCATCCATCCATCAACTCCAACCACCCATCCATCCTCCATCTATCCAATCATTTATATACATACCACCCATCCAACCTCCATCTACCTATCCATCCATCTACATACATACTCACCCATCCAACCTCCATCTACCCATCCACCCGTCTACATACATACCTACCCATAGACCCATCCATCCATCCTCCATCTACCCATCCATCCATCTACATACATACCCACCCATCCATCCTGCATCTACTCATCCATCCTTCCATCCTCTGTCTACCATCCATCTACATACACACTCACCTATCTACCCACTCATCTACATACACATACGCACACCCACACATCCACCCATCCACCCACCCATCCATCTACCCATCCATCCGTCTACCCATCCACCTACCTATTATCTGTCTACCCATTTGTCCATCTACATACACATCTATCCATCCATTCATCCATCTATCTTTCTACCCATCCAATAACTTTCTCATCCATTTACCCACCCTAATAACCATGTGGCTGAGCAGGGGACATTGTTCTTGCCAACTCTAGTGTTCAAGGGTAGCTAAGGAACTCTTCATCTGCCCTAAGCATACATGGCCCCAAGGGTTCCTACGGCTGGTTTCCATACACAGGGGCTATTACCAGCTGCCTGTGGGAGCTGAGGGCAGAAAAACTGAGATGATAAGCTTCAAAGCTTCTTGAAAAGTCGTTCCAAAGAGTGAAGCTCACTCTCACAACTAATTCCAAATAGTCCTGAAACACCCCAGGGACAGAGGTGGTGTTGACTGTCTGAGGGAAGGACTGTGGCTGTGGGGTTTTTTGAAGAAAGAAGGGTGATATTAGGAATCAAAATATCCAAGGTTTTTGAAGGCCACTTTGGTTCCTGGGATGAGAGGGCTTCTCTTACTTCTGGAAAAGGGAGCAGGACTTCAGATTTCTTGGCCAAGGAGCCAGGCCCAGGTCTCAACTATGCAGCCAGATGAACCACCAGGGAACTCAACCGTCTCAGCTCCCACCTCCCTGTTTATCATTCTGAAATGTTATGATGAGTTCTTGCATGGTGCACATTTTCTTTTTACTTTTAACCTATCTGTGTCTTTATATTTAAAGTCCAGGCCCTATAGATCGCATCCAATTAAGTCTTGCTTTTTTTCTTTGCATCTAATCTGACAAATCTCTACCTTTAGATTGAAATTTTAACTCCATTTATATTTAGTGTAATTCTCGACACGGTTGATTTTAAATCCCACCATCTTTTAAATTAATTTCTATTTTATCCCACCTGTTCTCTGTTCCTATTTCCCTCTTTCCACCCACACTCACAGTTCCCTCAGTAACTGCAGGCCTTTGCCTGTGCTGGTTCCTCTACCTGCAACACCCCCTCCATTCTTCACTCAGTTCAAATGTTACCTCTTCTGAGAAGACTTCTCTTTTCACCCAGAATGGGTCCAGGACCCCCTCCGCACCCTGAGCTTATGCTAAAGGACCCTGGGTGAATAACACATTGTTGTGTCATTGCAAATTGGTTTATCTGCTCCCCTTCAAATGTGTTTTGTCCACATTTGAAGCAGCATAGGAACATGAAGTGCTTAACGAGCCTTTGCTGAACACACAAACAAAGTTGCAGAATAACATATGCAGAGCATTCTACTCAGACAGAAGTGACAAAAAGAGCCAAAGGCGACTTCAGTGTCTTGGACCTACACCACCCTACTGCAGGCCTGACCTAGGGTCAGTGTAAAATATTTACTTCGCTTTTATTATGATCATTAATTTGCTAAGAAAATGGTTGTTGAACAAATGAATGAATGAAGAAACAACTAGAAAAGCTGGTGCTGGATGCCTCAGACCTGATCTGACAAAACCAGGGGCCTTTCCCCACAATGTTTCAGAAGACCTCAGGGGTTCGCTGTATCCTGAGTACAGACCACAGCCTAGGGCCCAGACACAGGTACTCTGCATGGGAAGGCCCTCGGAAGAGCTAGGTGAGTTGAGGGCAGGGTAGAGGGAAGACAGGGCTGGGGAATCCAGCCTCACCACAGCCAAAGGGAGATGTCCAGGCCCAAGGAGACTGCAGGGCCTGAGGTCTTTTTAGGGGACGCAGCCCAGAGTACCCATCTCAGGTCAACTCCAGGGCCATGGTCATGGAGAGAAACCACCTCGGGTGTCTCCACCATCAAAACCATCCCATCAAAAACATCCCTTCAAAACCACATGTGTTCCACCCACTCTGCTTGGCAAAGTGCAAGAGCCCTTGGTGCATGAATGAATGAATGAATGAATGAGTAAATGAATGAATGAAGCACACCCCAGAAAGCTTCATCACAAGGAAACCCATGCGAGGGCTGCCGGGTGAGGACCACCCAGGCCTGTAAGTGGGTGGGTGGGAGGAAGGGGGTGGTACCAGGCCACAGCCATGGCTGGGGGCAGAAGACCATGTTCCCCCTCCAAGGATGGGGATTTGCTTGGGTGGAAGTCTCTGAAGGCTGCAGCCATGGCTGGTCCAGAGGCATGCAGGGAACCCATGATCACAGTGACTTGGATGCCCTTCCCAGGGGCAGGTGGATAAAGGGAGCTCAGTGTGCATGGAGCTCATAGGGGCTTGGGCAGGAAGGCAGGCTGTCCCCAAATGCCGCTCTGCCACTCCTTGGTGATAGGAAGAGCACTGTCCAATAACTGAGCTCCTCCTGGTGGGGCACTGAGCTTCAGAGGGTTCCCAAGGGAGGGGCCAGGGTAAGGGCTGACCCCTCACATACACACACAAGTCACAGACGTGGAAGCACACATGTGCATTCACGTGCTCATCCTCACCCCAACTCACCAGCAACACGCAAGACCTTCACAGACACACCCACAACCCCCACACACAGCAATCTGTAACACAGATACATATATGCAGCCCCCAGAGAAGCAGGGCCATCTCCCTGGGTGAACCAGGCCACACAAATGGGCATGTCCACACTCATCCAGAGACCCTGCCTTCAGCTCACTCACTGCAACCCCAATACGCACACTGATACTCCCAATTATGCCCACAGATGCACATCCAACACAAGGGTATACACAGACCCATCCCCGCACGTACCACACACCCTCGTGTACACACATGTAGACTCATAAGTGCACACACACAGGCTCACCATCCCCCCAAACCTTCCAAGCATGGCTGGACCCCAGTCCTCACCCCAACATATCTACTCCTTGTCTGTCCCCGCTCTCAACCCCCCTGGAGACCCCCTCCTCCTAGAGCTTCAGCCCCCACTGGGAGACATAATTACAGAAAGACAGAATTTGGCACTCTAAGCATCTCCCCTGCCATAAGCCTCTTCCCTGGGGCCCAGCCCAGGAGAACTAGAGCTGAGTTCCAGGGCCTGTGGCCAGCACTACCTCCCCCAGCACAGCCCTGAGCAACAGCAGAGGGGGGCCTGGGCAGGAAGAAAACACACTTGGGAATGGCGGAGACAGGAGAGGGAGAGCAGAGAAGAAATGGCCGGGACCTTGAAGACACAAAGGAGAGAAGTAAGAGCCAGCCAGAGCTGCTAAATTTCCACGATCATGACCACAGACAACGTTCACTGAGAACCTGCCATGTGCGAGCAGCATTTATAGCAAATACTCACAAACCCTCTGTGAGCTCCACTCTAAGGATGGGAAAGGTGGGGTTTCCAGAGGCTGCAGCACTTGGTCTGAGCCTCTTGCTGGTGAGCAGGGGAACTGGAATTCGATGTCCACTGTCTGCCCTGCCATTCTCAGCTCCGTGTCCCAGACCTCCTGAAAGTCCTGGTCTAGGTGACAGAAAGCTAGTAGGATCTGGACAGGCCCTCTAACCCGGATGTCTGTTTGCTTGGCTGTAAAATGGGTGTGAGAACACTCAGCCTGCCCCACCCAGCAGAGAAAGGCACAGTGCGGATCTGCAAGGTGGATGGACAGCCAGGGTCAGCACACGCTGGTCCCGACTTGAGGTGATATTGTCATTACCCATAAACAGAGGGGGAGGTGGAACTTCAATGCTTCACACTCCAGCCGGCAGCAGCCTTGGCCCCACAGGAACCCAGTCCTCTGAGAGCTGGTTGCTATGGATACACTCCCAAGGGTCCCAGCCTGCCAGCCCCCAAGCCCCTGTGAAACCCCCAGAGTCTGTTCTTACACGAGTGGGTCCTCAGGGAGGGAAGGGTGGGCTAACAGACAGCTGAGCCCCTGCCCCCAGGTGTGCCCAGGCAGGGGGCAAGGCCCCAGAGAATGCTGCCGTGGCTGGGGAGGAACCTGGGCTTTGTCTAGCTCCTTTCTGCGATGGCCCATCTGCCCGGGGCCTCTAAGCAGGCAAAGCCGGGATTTTTCAGCTCATCCCTGGTCACACAAGGCCAGAAGGCAGGGAGAGGAAGGGCTGGGGTCCCCAGGAAACACACTCCCCTTGAGTTTCAGTCCCTGCACAGCCGCACACAGTTGTGCCTCCTTGGCATATGGCATCACCTTTCTGAGCTGGAGCCTCTCTTTGCCAAAACAGAGGCCACAGCAAGGTTCCTGGGTTGATGCCACAGAAATGCCTAAAAGAGGCCAGCACAGCGCTTCTCACATAGTAGGGGCTTTCACGAAGTGGTGCTTGATGCTGGATGCAGAGCACTCCAGGGAGGCTCACACAGCCCAAGACTCTGGAGGCTCTAGAAGCAGCCCAGCACCATGGTGGGCAGTGCCAGAAAGGAAGGAGTGATCCGGGCTGAGGGGCACCCAGGAGAAGCAGGCACAGTGACCCAGGCCAGCCGCGCTACCCCACAGCCTAAGCGCAGCCATAACCACCCGGGACCCCACCCCAGCCGGTCTGTCCCTTCTTGCAGCCATGATGCGGTCCAGAGCTGCTGGGTGCACTGTTGCTTAAGACCAGGGGCAGTGGTGCCAATGCTGCCTGCCTGGGTGCAAGTCCCTCTCAGCTCCCAACAGCTGGGGCTTGAGGCAAGTGACCTCATTGTGCTATGCCTCAGTTTCCTCACTTACAACATGAAATACTGTAAGGATTAAATAGAAAGTGGTTGGCAAATCCTTAGTCCTCAAAGAGTGTGGATTGCTACTGTAAAAGGGGAAAATAACAAGTGACCTTTACTATGCGCTTGGCACTTACTTTACACATTTAATCCTCAGAGCAAAACGCTGAGGTCAGCATGATAAATAGTCACGACGGTTCACAACTAATGGGGAACAGGCAGTGACCAATCAGAGCAGATGATGGTTAAAAAACCAGAGAGGCCCCCAGTTTCTTCCTGGATGCAGAGATGTCAGCCCAGGAGAGACGCTATTACTATTCCATTACTATCACTGTTCATTACCACTGCTACTACCTCTGGCTTCGTAGTGGAGCACAGAGGCCCAGAGAGGTCAAATTACTGCTGGGTCAAATTACTCCAGGACCCAAACACTCCCTGAGACCACCTACGCCCCCCTAGAAAGGCTGAGTGGGACAGAGCAGGGCAGCAGAAACTAATGCCCATGCTCAGCCCCCTGGAGGGGGCCCTGTTTAGAAGCCTGGCTCATCCAAAAGGCCCTGAGAGGGTAGGGTATTGTTATAGCACTCTGTTTTCTTCCTTTCTCTTTCTTTCTTTTCTTCTTTCTTTCTCTTTCTTTCTCACTCTCTCTCTCCCTCCTTTTCTTTCTCTCTCTCTCTCTTCCTTTCCTTTCCTTGACTAAGCCACAGCACCCAGCCTCTCTATTTTAATTCAAGTGCTCCTCTCTTCAGGCAGATGTCCATGGACAGGTGCCCCTGCCCCTCTGGACTCCCATGGGCCTGTGTGTATAATACCAGGAGGTGGGGTCAGCAGGCGCTGAGGCCCCTTCCACTGCGGGGTCCTCCCTTTACTCTCTCTGGCCCCCTTCTCTCTCCCTCTGCCTTCCTCACCCCCTCAAAATCACAGAGTCCCAGGACAAACACCCTCAGCAAACACCCCTGTGTCCCAACAGGCGCCTGTGGCAGGTGGCCCTTCCCCAAATCCTTCCTCCCCGCCAATGGCGCCAACAGCAGTCCTAGAGGAAAAGGTGATCCCAAGATCCGCCTGGCACCTCTTCGGTCTGGAAACAGCACAGACTCAATGGGAGTCCAGGGTCTGTGCTGTCTGACACCCAAGGGCCACGCAAGCTCCAGACCCACCATTGGGTACCCTCGGTCCCTGTACCCAAGGTCTGTGTGGGCCCACCCATAGCCTAGACTTCACCCCAGCTCATTGAAAGCCACTTGTTATGGGCCCGTGGCTCCCTCTGGTCCACAAGTCCCCAAGTCAAGGTCCATTTCTGGTTCTCCTTGGCTCCCAGGCACATAATCATAATGGGTGCTCAGGGAAAACGTGATGAAGGAATCAATCGATCACTAATGTTCATGGCAATCGGAACCACATGGAAGGCCCTCCATGAGACCATGTCGAAGGTGCCAGGCTTGGCCCCTTGTGTGTGTGTCATCTTTATGAACTGTCGAAAGAATCCTGGGTCTAAGGCCCAGAGAAGTCAGGGACTTGCCTATGGAGACCCAATAAGCAAACGAATCTGTCTCCCCCAGCTCAACAACAAAGATACCAGCTGCCACCCATGCGCCCTCACTGTGCATGAAACACTGTACCAGGCACATTACCTATATGATGTCATCGGCCTCTCACAGCAATTCTTTGAGGTTGGGACAATTATTATTCCCATTTTACAGATGAGCACTTGACAAATAAGGCCCAGAGAGATAAATAACAGGAGCCCATCACACGGCTGGAAAGGAATGGCACTGCTGAGATTCAAACTCAAGGAGTCTATGGCACAGCAGTTGTGCGTCACCACCACAAGACAGTGCCACTTCTCAGAAACGCAGCACTCAGGGTACGTGGCTCCTGTGGGGATCAGAGGAACCCCAAGGAGGGAAGCCGGGGCAGGATGAGGTGGGCCGCACTTACCCGGGGCACCGGCGACGTCTGGGTCCCTTTCCGGGGCCCACTGGTTTCCGGCGTGAGGTCGCGGTGGTCCACCTGCATGTGGCTCTCCAGGTCTTCAGCACTCTCGAACTTGACGCTGCACTCGGGACAGCGGAGGCTGGCACAGGGCCGGTCGGCGGGCTCGGGGGGTGCCAGGCCTCCCACCTGTCCATTGGCGCTGCGGGCCATGCAGCCGGCGCAGAGGCCGTAGGGCAGCCCGTTGACGTCGAGCTTCACCAGGTCCTGCTTGCTGCGGAACTCCTTGAGGCACAGGGCACACTTGTAGAGCTTCTGCAGCCCCTGGCCATTGGGGGAGGACGTTGCTGAGCTGCCTGCCAGCTTCTGCATGTGGAAGGTGCCATGGATCTTGAGCTCGAGTGTGGAGGTGACTGTCTGCATGCAGACCACGCAGCGGAAGCCCGTGAGAGAGTTGCGCAGGTCGGGGTGCATCTGGCAGTGCTCGATAAACTCCTCCTCGCTCTGCAGGGGCATCTTGCAGATGCGACAGGTGCCCGTGTCCAGGCTCTTGCTGTGGGTCACCTTGTGCTCAGTGAGCGTCAGCAGCGAAGGGAAGCGCTCACCACAGATGGGACACATGTAGTGCTTGGCAGGGCCCCGGTGCGTCTGCAGGTGCTCCCGTAGCCCATTCTCCGAGAAGAAAGTCCGCGAGCAAACGTTGCACTTGTGGCTGCCCTTGATAAACTCAGCCTTCTTGCGCGAGCCGTCATCCTCGCCTGGCCGGATGTTGTGGTCCCTCAGCCGGTGGTTCTGCAGCAGCACCTCCATGGTGTAGGCCGCCCCACAGATGTCGCAGCCGTACATGGGCTCCGACGCGTCCACGTCGTCCTCACTGGCCTCGTGGCTGTTGGGCGCCTCGGGGTTCTTAAGCAGCATGCCCTGCAGGTCGGCCGGCTCAGCCTTCTTGGTGGCCGCGGGAGGCACCCCGTTGGCCGTGCCGTTCTCGGTCGCAGCGTCGAACACACAGTGCTTCTCCCGCAGGTGCTTCTCCAGCAGGATGATGGCATGGAAGGCTTTGCTGCAGAACTTGCAGTTATACTTCTTGCTGTGCGTGGTGATGTGGCACTGCAGCTCCACCTCGGTGCTGAAGGTCTCCCCGCAGAAGATGCACTTGTGAGCCTTGGCCGGGTTGCCCAGGTGGCTGTGTTTGACGTGCACCTGCAGGTCGGCCTCCTTGCGGAAGTCCCAGTTACAGGCTGTGCAGCGGTACATCTTCTTCTCATTGCTGTGCTTCACCGCCAAGTGCACCTGGATGGACACCTTGGAGTCGAAGACCTCCTGACACAGGGTGCAGTGGTACAGCACAAAGGTGTGCATGTCCAGCAGGTGCTTCTGCAGGTCATCCACCGAGGAGAACTGCTTGTCGCAGCTCTCGCACACATAGTGAGTCGACGTGGTCATGTAATGCACTGTCAGGTGCTGCAAGAGGGACTCCTGGGAGTCAAAGTCCTCTTTGCACTGGGGGCACGCCTGCTTCCGCAGGAGCAGCTCCAGGTGCAGCTTCAGGTGAGTCTGGAAGCTCTCAAAGTTGGAGAACTTGAGGTCACACTGATTGCAAGGATACTCGCCATTGGAGATGGAGTTGGCACTCGCCGAGAGCCGCTGCCGCTTTGGGGACGACACCTCCACGTCGGATGAGACTGGGCTCTGCTCGGCCTTGGACTTCTTGCTGTGGGCCAGTGGAATGTTCTTGTGGTTCTCCTTGATGTGCTTGGTGAGCTTCAGGATGGAGCCGAAGATGGGGGAGTTGGTGCAGTAGGGGCAGGAATAGACCTCCATGAAGGACTGCGTGGGCTGCACCACCGGAGACTCTAGTTTGGCACTGCTCACGTTGCAGTGGGCCTGCTGGATGTGCTCGGTGAGGGAGGACTCGGTGAGGAAGCCCATGGAGCACTGGTTGCAGAAGAAGGCGTTATTGCCATCGGAGGGGTTGGCGTTGGGACCGCAGTGGGAGACGCGGATGTGCTCCTGCAGGCTGTTGATGTCGGCAAACATCTCGGGGCAGTAGTTGCAGTGGAAGGTGGAGATGTTGCCAAACTGCATCACGGGGTAGGCATGGTTCTTGTGCAGCTTGCGCACGTGCTCGTTGAGGTTGTAGAGGGTGGGCATGGAGTCTAGGCAGATCTGACACGTGTGGCTCTGCTGGGGCTTGTCCGCGTGGATGGTCTTCAGGTGGATCTCCAGCACCGCCAGGCTGTTAAAGTCCCGCTTGGAACAATAGGGGCAGCTATAGACCACCTTGGTCCAGCCCTGCCCATCATCCCGCATCTTCTTCTGCCCCCGCAGCGGCTTCAAGGTGGAGTCCGGGGTGGAGCCGCGCTCCACAGAGGCGCTGGAGTCGGGCGTGGCGCTGCTCATGGAGGCCACGCTGCCCAGCACAGGGTCAGGACTGACGCTGTGGTTGCTGGAGTCAGGCTGCCGGTGGCTGTCCAGGTGGCAGTAGACACCTTCCACTGAGGAAAACTGCTCAGGGCACATGGGGCACTTGTGTTTCTGGTTGGCGTGGGCTTGATGGATGTGGGCGAGCAGCGTGTTCTCGTCGACGAAGACCTCGGGGCAGTGGATGCACTGCAGGTCCGCCTTCTCGGAGAGCTGTGGGTGGCGGGTGAGCACGTGCTTCTCCAGCTCCTCCGTCTGGCTGAAGGTGTCCTCGCAGTAGTCGCACATGAAGTCGTCCTTCTTGGCTTCCTTCTCCGACTTGGCCAGATGCTCCTTGTTCTTCTTATGGGCCTGCATGTGGCTCTGCAGCGAGCTGGTGGAGGAGAAGCCGCGCTTGCACACGGTGCACTTGAAGGGCTTGCTGGAGCTGTGGGTCTTCAGGTGGATCTTGAGGTGGTCGCTGCGGGAGAAGGCCGCCTCACACTCGTGGCAGTGGTACTTCTTGTCGCCCGTGTGCAGCTTGATGTGCCGGTCGCGGCTCCTCTTGTGCTTGAAGAGGCGGCTGCAGTAGGTGCACTTGAACGGCAGCTTGTCGCTGTGGATCTGCTCGTGCCTCTTCAAGTAGCTCAGGCGGATGAAGGACTTGTCGCAGAACTGGCAAGGGTACGGCAGGCCTGTGCCCCCTTCCTCCTCGCCGAGGCCGAGGTCACAACCATCTCCGATCATCTGCGTGGGTGACGCAACATCCTTGCTGGAGGGAGACGAGGCCACCCAGGAGAGTTGTGGGTCGTCATCACCATCTGCAGGGGAAGGCAGAGAGGAGATTAGAGGCAATTCCCAGGGCTGCCGAGAAACAAGGACAGAGCCAGCTTCTCGACAGCGCGCGGGCTGAGGCTGTGCAGCTGGCCAACGGCTGCAGGGGGCTGCGGGGAGGGGCAGCGGCCGGAAGCAAGTGGACACCAGGGCCTTCCTGTCTGCAGAGGACACGCCAGAGGGGCGGTTGATAATGAAGGGGAAATGCCTCTTTCCTCAACAGCACCTGCCTGGGCCTGGCAGGACATGGTAGCCCCCCTCAGAGGGGAGGCTCATGGCCACTTTCCTGGTAGGGAGAGGAGGGGCAGCCTAGACAAGGTCACTGGAAATGAACTCACAGACCATCACAGGCCAAAAGGAGGACACAAAAGTCCCGTCACTTGATCCACACCTGGGAGTCAACTCCCCTCCAATCCCTAATCCTGGAGGGAAGGAAATCCCACTGGTCCTTACCAGCACAGGCAAAATTCTGCAACAACAACAATGCCCTTATTGGACCGGCCATAGCATGCACCATTCTCTGAGGATGGGCGGCCTGACAGAACTGGAAGCTGCTGCTTCAGGTAACAGACGAAACATAGGAGGTGTGAAATCACAGGGCATGACACAGCAGACTCCAGTGCTCGGGCGGGAAGTGAGTCCAGGGCACTGAAGACGCATCTGTGGGTTTCCGGGCCGAAGCCATTCTGAGACCCCGGTTTTCTTTGTTTCCTCTACACCCCTGGATTCACCCCAACCCCACCCAGGACCAGGAGATATGGAGAGATGGTGACAGTGATTGGAGGAAGAATGAGGAGGTGGATGGCCACAGAGCTCAGAGCCAGGCGGGCCCTTAACTCCATTGCAAAGGCGAGGAAGAAGCAATCCTTGCTCAGACACCGGCGCATCCCACCCTCCCTGGGGACAGCCCTCACAACCCCCACGTTCGCTGGCCCGTCCAGCCTCAGAGGAAACCTAACCAAACCTAAGGGTTGGCCGTTTCTGGGAAAACAAAGGCACACAGGACACAGTGAATAAAGCCAGAGACATTCCCCGGCAGGGGTCGAGCAGAGCCAGCCCGGTCAGGGAGTGAGTTCCAAGGCTCAAGTTTCTCTTCGGCTGGATTTAAAACTTAATAATGAATGAAACAGACCGCAGGCTGCTGCGGGCAGGGGAGAGACAAACAAAAGCTCAGATTCGGCTGTGCTGACCTTGCTCTTGTAACCCCGAGGAAATAAACCACTGCCCCCGCCTCTCCAGCCGCCAGCCAGCCCGGCTGAGTCTTCAGAAGAGCCTCACAGACGTAACCCAGACGTAACCTTGACCCAGAGGCAGCCCAGACCTTCAGGAAGGGATAGAGCAGGCACACCATGTTCCCAGCATGGGTGAACACTGGCACACACATGCACATACACACACACGCCCACCTACACACACACAATAACACCCGTCACACACACAACCATTTGCACCATCACTCCCACACACTCACACTATCACTCACAAACTTAAATATACATGCACACGCTCATGTATACATTTACCTGCAGACACACACACACATCACAGACCTGTGGTTTCCCTACAAGGCTCTCCGCACAAGCTGCCTCTGCTGTCCCAGGCCAACCCCAAGACTTAAAGAGACAACAAGGGCTGATTGGGGTGTCTTGAGGGGTCCCTCACAGCTGGGGATGAGCCTAGTCCTAAGCCCCGCCCCCACCTCCTCGCCCCCACCCCGCAACCATCGCTGACCACGTGATGATCCACCTGACCCCAGCTGGCACCATTGGCACAGCTCAGCCCGGATGCATGCAGCTCTCTGAAGCTCCCAGCTCCAAGACTCCCAGCAGCCACCCAACCTCTGAAGCCCAGCTGCCCAGCCCAGCTCAAGGGGCCTCCTGGAACACCCTCCCAGAGCACTCCCCGCCCAGGCGCCTCACATGACGGGCTCGGCAGACTGGAAGGATGCAGCAGCCGCGGCCAGCTCCCCAGATGATATGGAGTGGGAGGTTCCCCAACCCCTGCCTGCCAACTCCCAGCTTTTGCCAGCTGGGGTCTGTGGAGTGCAGACAAAAGGGACCCCAGGGAAGAGACGGCTGGGGCCAGGGGACCTGCTCGGCCTTCACTCCTGGCCAGGCTGGACTGACTTCCTCTTGTTTTGATGTCTTCGCTCAGACTCACTTAAGCTACCAGAGTCCTTCCTGTGTGCCCAGCACTCTGCTAAGTGCTTTCTCCCAACTGCCAATGAGGCGGGAGCCAGGGCCACTCTGGCCACTCCCACTGGACAGATAAGGAAACTGAGGCACGACCTCAGGGACTTGCTCTGGGAAATGACAGTGCCAGAGACTGATGCCAGGACGGTCCACATTCAGGGTCCTTGACCGTAGCACGGCCCTGGACCAGCTTCTGTGGGGCAAACAGTCAAATAAGACCACCGCTGAGTGGGTAAGAAGGGAAGGGGGCACACATGTAAAGCCTCCAGATCCTCAGGCCTTGATCTCCTTGGAGGCTCGGTCATGAGGAGGGCTGGGGCTGGCCCATGATTTGCATTTCTGGGAGGGGCTCATCAGGGTGCAGAGAGATACAGGAGCTCACTGGAGCCCACCTAGCAACCGATGTGTGGAGAATCCTCAACAACTGGGCAGGTGAAAGCACTATCACTCTTGTGGGACAAGCCTACACAGGTATTTCTGCCAGTTTTCATTTGTTCCTAAACCTTTTGTACCACCTGAGAACCAGAGGACAGATCCCTGCAGAGGACAGAGCCCTCCCAGCTCCTCCATGAATTCATCCATGCCCTGAGCATTCCTCTTAACCACTCACTTTATGCATGTGAAAAAATGGAATCCAGGAGGCTGAGACAGGAGAATTGCTTGAACTCAGGAGGCAGAGGTTGCAGTGAGCCAAGATCACGCCACTGCACTCCAGCCTGGGTGACAGAGTGAGACTCCGTCTCAAAAAAAAAAAAAAAAAAGGAATCACTGGGAGGAGTGGATGAGGAAGATTAATGGGAGAAAGCACTATCATGCCACTGACATGAAATGTCCAGAATAAGGTGCATCTGAGACAGAAGCCAGGTTGTGGCTGTCTGAGGCTGGAGGTGGGAGAAGGCACTGGCTGCAAACAGGGACAGGGATCCTCTGACGTGATGGAAATGATCCTAAAACTAGACTGTGGGTGAAGACTGCATAGCTGTGTAAACTTACCAGAGACTAGCTGAGTCGCTCACTTCAAACAAGTGAACGTTATAGTATGCAAATTATACTTCAATGAAGTTGTTAAACAAAAGCACTATTTTGCCAATAATCAGAATTAGTACTAATTAGTACCACAAGTGCTAACAATATTAATAGCTCCATTTATTGAGAATGTCCCACGTGCCAGCACTGGGCTAAGTACGTCTATTACCGCAATTAATTTCTATTCATCCTCACAACAACCATATCTGGCTGTCTGCAGTAACATTCCCATTTCTGAGATGAGGAAGCGGGGTTCAGGGAGTTGAGAAACTAGCCCCCAGTACCAATCCACATGCCCCAGTAGTGTCTGGCCAAACCGCGTCTCCTAAGCGTAAGAACCTGGTCCCCAGACCCCACATCACTCATTCACCCACTGGGCTTTGAAAAGGAGACTCTTAACCTGCCCAGCGCCAGAGTACCCAAGGTTCATTGCAGGCTGGTTGCTTGGCTTTATTTTTCTGCAAACAAGTTTTGAAACTAAAGCAAAGCATAATATTCTGGGAGCAACAAACTGAGCCACTGCTGAGATTATAATCATCTGAATTGAAATGAAAATAAGGCTCCTTAAACTGAAAAGGCCCAATCAGGGAAAATAGGCATGTTGACATACAAAGTCCCAAACTCAGATTGCCCTGTTTAAAGTCTTTTATTCAAAGAACACTCAACCTCTCCTGCTGCCATCTCACCCCCTCCAAATGCATTTTGCTTTGGGGGCACTTAGCTCAGTGCTCTAGAACCAGGCTAGAGAGAAAGGCTGGGGCCAAAGCTCGGGAATGTATCTGCAGGGGACGTCAGCAGAGGAAGAGTTTCTCTTTTCTATTTTTTTTTTTTGTGGTGGGGAGAGAAGTCTCACTCTGTGGCCCAGGCTAGAGTAAAATGGCATGATCTCAGCTCACTGCAACCTCTGCCTCCTGGGTTTAAAGCAATTCTCCTGCCTCAGCCTCCCAAGCAGCTGGGATTACAGGTGTGCACCACGACACCCAGCTAATTTTTTTATTTTTAGTAGAGATGGGGTTTCACCATGTTGGCCAGGCTGGTCTTGAACTCCTGACCTCAAGTGATCTGCCCGCCTCAGCCTCCCAAAGTGCTGGGATTACAGGCGTGAGCCACCGCGCCCGGTGCGAGGCTCTCTTCTCTTACAGCAATGACACTTTCCTCATGCGGGATGCTGGACACCACACACATCTGCGACTGAGGCCAAGGCAATCCCAAAGTCTCCTCCAACATGAAAATTCCAGAAAATCAGGGAGAAGGGGGTTTTGAGGAAAGTCCTGATCAACCACTACCCTTTTATTTTCAAATAAATACTTGCATCGATTTTGCTATGTGCTAGGAATTCTTCTAAGAGTTTATGTGCATTCACTCATTCAATCCTCTCAATAGACTAATGAGTTAGGTACTGTTAATAATTCCATTTACAGATGAGAAAACCAGGGCACAGGGAGGCTGAGTGACTTGCCCAGTGCCACACAGCCAGGAGGCAGCAGAGTCAGGATGTGAACCCCCTTAGTCCTGTTCAGTCAGTGTTTTCAACCACAAGGCTTCACTACCCACCACCCCCGCTCCCCTCCACACCCCCCGCTTTGGTAGAAGCATGAGAAAATCAAGTGGGAGGTACAATGACTAATACCAGACCCACTTTTGCCCCACCACCCAGAATAAATGCAATCAAAGAACTATAACAAAAATGAGTTTAAAAAATCACTTGCAAAATGGAGATTATACTCATTTAAAAACGACTAATCCTTCAAAAAGGCCAAGTAGGAAAT